TCAGCTGTGCATCTATGCTGTGAATCGACATCTAAAATGGGCTTTTCTACAATTAGATCAATGATGAATTAATCTAAAAACTTGATAAAATAATAACAATGTTGACTTCAGATTAATAATGAGGTCACTTTTACAGCGGTATGCTTACTTCACATTTGTAATAGATGGTAAATATAAAACAGTGAAATCTCAAATCAACAGAAAAACAGCGGTAGATCGTTTAATTCCACCTTATGCAATGCCAACACAAATGAGAGTGTAGGCACGACTAGTCATGGACAGATGGAGAAATCTCTGCCACCCCTGTGATCTCATTTTTTTCCTACGAGATCACAAGGGCAGCAGAGAAAATTGAAGCAAGACAACTTGAATTATTCGGTGAACTAAAGACTGGGCGAAAATAAATCCAAGCATGTCTGCCAGGAGGTTTGTGGCTGTGCAGTGAATAAAGTGATGCAGAATGACAGAGCAGTGGCTGACGCTGAAAAGATTGTGCGTTCCACTTATTTCTCACGCACCTGTAGCTGATTATTAAATTCATATTGATTTAAATTCACATTTTCTGCGATTTGGATACTTAAACATCCCAAAATGCAATACCTGGAGGGTCCCTCTGTGGAAGCCACCAGTGTTCTCTTGACTCACTCTTTATGACAATGACAGCATTTTGAGATAACTGAGTGTGCACCAGTTAAGGGTGATAAAAAAAGGATTTGTATGGAAAGCAAACATATTTAAATTTGGAGAGGCAACATTGTGTTTTCATTGAAAGAGCTGGCCTTTCCCATATGTCTGGTTGATGCACTGTAGAGTACACGTGGTGATTTAACCTTTTTTTAAAGTCTATGGCACTTTTTGATCAATAGAAAAACTTCATTGGCCTGAGGCATTTTTAAGCACCTAAGAGATTATTTTAGCCTTTGCTCTTTGCATTTCCTCTAAATTTCAGAATATTAGATAGATGTCTTCACAGCAGTAATTTGAAGTTTTGATCATTTCTTCATTGAATATTACGTTATGTGGTCCTGTTTTATCTTTCTCAGTTAATAGAACCAGACATTAGTAACTGGGTTTGAGTGTTTAGTTTGTAAATTATAACAATTGTAACACTCTCTCGTATACCACTTAACGGATTTAGTGAGACCTGATTCAGATTGCAATGGAAGTTGGCAACACAGAGTTGGAAATGAAATACTGAGAATACAACCAATCAGAAATATTCGGAGCTGCAAGGTAGTGAGAAATCTCACATATATTCCTACCAGAGCTGTCTACCATGTGAAATTTCTCATTCCCGCCTCTTTTAGTAACTTGTTCCCATATCTGCCACGGAAGAGGCAGAAAAAAGCTTCCTGTGGTCAAAATGCAGAAACCGTGACACAAGGCGGGTTGGCTTGTATCAGAGTAGTCCTGTGCTCTCCAGCTGTGTCTTTCCCCGCCGGGTAACACTTACCTTGCCTTTAAAAATACTTGACTGCCCAGCACTTTGTTGGACTCAATGTTCGATTTACTGGAGTCTATACTTCAAACAATCTACTCCGACCTCTCAAAAAATCCATCACTCCTGGATTATTTTGAGATATGGCTTTAAAAAGGCAGACGAGCTCTTGGGTGTTGTAGGGTATTCTGTTGATCCTTTTCAAAAGAAACATTATTATATTAACTTAACGTTAAAAAAAGATCAATCTCAAGCAGGAGCCTGCGAATCGTGTCAAGTATCACACAAAAAATTCAGATTTATTGGCAGTTGATGAAAGAAAAGGTTTAAACATCTTCCCGAGGATTCAAGATCAATGTTGTGCAATTTAAGCTTCGTCTTATACTTTTTGTTAGACTCTTTCTCAGAACTCTCCAAATAATACGGACGATCCCCTTTGTTGTTTTTAGATAATCCTATGATGCATAGAAGAGACAATGAAGATGCTGTTCTTATTTCCCAAAATGTCATTTTTAATTGTACATCATATATTCTATTCATTTTATTATGCAACTCTTTTATTTCCAGTTTTTTGCACACCTCACAAATTATGATCAATGAGCTTGTATGGAGATTCTCCATCATCTGGCTTTAAGACATCTGGAGTAATCAAATCAAAGAACGATTCACTTTATTCGGGGGGGTGTTGCTTCTTAACTTCCAGCTTCTTTACACTTTGTGTGTGTGTGTGTGTATGAATACCAAAATAGGGATTTTTAGCTGGAGAAAGGCTTAGTATCCTGTTTTTTGGCACATTGTAGGAGGAAGGTGATGCTGCTATCTTTGTGCATTATAATGCTGTCGCTAAGTACAGTTTTAGTGCTTCCTAAGCATTTTCTTAATATTATATATTATATATATATGAATCAAAGCAAAAAAAACTACTAAAAAACAAGACACTATATTTAAAAAAAATACTGAACTTATGACACTATTAAACTCAACCCTTCAGCAAAACAAGGTTAGACCCACCTTAAATCTTTCTCCATATGATGGTTTGTACCCTATAAATCTTTGAGTGTAACATGACAGGAAAGTAAGGATGATGCTGAGTGCCTGAATATTCCACAGGGCTGCTCTCCACCGCTGAGGAAATGCCGTCTGTGTGAGTACACATAGTAAGCCAGGCAGGGAATGTGATGAATGATGCAAAATGGAAAAGAGGCTGACAGCCTCTTTACAGTTCCTTCTGCCTGTATCATGTTACCTTCTACAAGTGTATTTACTACAAAAGGAGGCTTCCGCTTGTGGCACTCTGAGCTGACATCGCTTACCTTGGTGCAAAAAGGGGCCAAGGAGGAATCAGCTGTCTCTGCATCTTAAGTCAACTGGTGGGTCACCCTGCCAGGTCTGTATCCTCTCCACACTCCGGGGTCCTTGTTCTCAACAGTTCTGCTTGCCATAGCTTGACCCCTTGGTCAGCAGAATGGACATTTCCTGTGCCAGCGGGAGTCCTGCTGTTTGTGTGAGGAGCTGGCAGCAGGTCCTATGCTTTCCGTTTTGTTGTTTGTGTGACGCTATGTGGGTCGGAAGTCTTACCATCAAACGTGGATTTTCTGCTGACTTGTTGGGAAAGCTCGTTCTCGCCCACATTCTCCTGTCCACTCACATGTGCTCGTTTGGTTTTGTTATGTTAGACCTGGAACTGGGAAATGTCGCTTGAATGTTGCGGATGGTAAAGAAAATGTTTTTTAAGTTGCTTAACAGACTCTGCAGAGTAAACACTTTTACGGACGGTGATTGTGCATACAGTGAAAGAAACAAATCCTGAAGGATAAATATGTAATCTACTCACCGTCAGAAATTAACTGCGTCAAAGTAAGTTGTGTAAACATACACATCGTATGAATGTTGGATAGACAAAGTGCATTCAAGTAATTACATAAATAACCTCTTTCACATGATTACTATGTATTATCACATTAATAAGGGTCTCATTTTAGTCATAACAAGTGAGAAATGTCATTTCAGTTTCACAGATAGATGAGTATACATTATTTAGTATATAATTTACTAACTGAATTTATTTATCAAGAAAGTCTTCACTCATAGCTTTTTAACTGGCAGTTATCTACATTTTCAGTGAAGGTTATTGTTTTAGAATTGAAATAATATGATAATAGTATAGTATATACAAATGGATCAGATTTGGATGTTTTTATGTGACTGTAATAATTTAATTCTTGCTTCACAAAAAGTGACAGGAGGAAGTTTGAAAATCAAATGAACTGGGAGTTGGAATGTATGTGGATACCTCTGCATTCCTTTTTCCCGCAACAGGCAAAAATTCCCATATTTGACAGCACTGGCTTTTGTAGCTTTACTTTAGTGGAAAATGAAAATAAAGCAGCTCTTTGGAATACTTCTTAAAATGGTCATTTTCTAAATCTAAGTTTGTGGGAGAACAGGGTAAACTTTAATCTCTGCTTCTTTTTTCATCATTTTTATACTCATGCTGCTGTCTTGTACAGCCTTGATCCCAAATGCTTATTACAGGTGCTGTTATTGGAAGTAAAGGAAGAACCTTTTTACGTTCCTTTACAGAGAGCGATGATAGAAAATGTCATTGACTGCTGGAACTGAGATACTGAGGCTGGAGCTTCAGCTCTCTGAGAGGACAAAAAAAGTTCCGAAGAGCTTTGTCTCATTCTCAAAAACTATTGATCTCATTTGTCCTCCATCTCAGATCTGAGGTGGCATGTCTGCACCTCTCTGCCTCGCTATTCATTTGCAATCAATAATGAGAGAGAGATGAAGCCAAGAGATGCTTGTCTGGAAGGCTGGACCTTTTTCTACTTCCCACTCCCTCTCCATCACCCATATGATGTAATTTCCTGTTTATTGCTCTCGCAACTGAGATTGATGCTTTTCAAAGAGAACGGGCAGCCTTTATTCATGTCGTTCTTTTCCCAGCCTCCTTTTTTCTCACAGAATAGCCTCCTCTGCCGTCTGCCTCATTCCCATGTCTCTTCCTCACTCTTTGTTCCCGCCATGTCACCCTGAAGCATTTATCCTTAATACTTTCCTTCACCTTCTTGTTTCTCCCTTTCCTCCTCATGGCTCTCTTTGAGCCGCCACCGTTTCCTGTTCTTTCTTTCTGTCCTAATCCATCATAAATCAGATGGGGGTTTTTTTCACGGGAAGAATTTTATTTAGAGCATCTGAATTAATTAGATACTGTATCAGAGATCCAGCCATTCTTAGCCCAGGCCCATCAAGGCCCCGAGGCTAATGGAGCAGCAGAAAGAGAGTGTGTGGATTTACAGCAACAACACGCTTTTATGGTCTACAAGAGCTTTCTGTGTGTCTTCACCAGTGAATTTCATTTACTGGCCCCATCAAGTAATGGGTTTGAGTGTAAAAACAAATGTGTGTGCATCACATTGAACTGTTACACAAGAGGGAGTAACTTCCGCATCATGCTGTTAACAGGGTTGGGTGTTTGGCATCTCACAAATAAACCAATGTATTTCATTAGATATCTACTAACACCCTCCTCCCTTCTCTTTCTCCCTTTCCCACCAGGGACGAATTCTCATATCAAGTACAGAGAAGCAAGCAGTGAGGAAGTATGAGAAGAGGTGCCCGTCTAATCAGAGATACAGATGGCCACAGAAGACGTGAATACCAGCCAACCTGGCACCGGTGCACCTTTCAATTGCCAATTTATACATAAAAAATAAATGTTACCCCATAATCAAACAATTACACTGTTTACCTTAACACACATACTGCCAGCCGAGTGACACGTCCCCTCCCTGCACTAATTTCTATTCAGATACAGTCGAAATTCCTAAGTTCCTACACATTTTTAGAAACAGAGACATTAACCATGTTGTGCCTGTTTCTGTAAAGTTTATATTGAAAGAAAATGAGTAACTGAACCCCAAAATATTACCACACCAGGCCCCTCAATCCCTTTCCAATGGCTGTAGTCTACATGAATTAATGTTAGATGGCAAGCGTCTCTGGTCTGCTCTCTCCACTGCATGCTGGAATGGCATCCCAAATGGCCCAGAGTACAGGACAGCTGAGACCTAACACGGCCGGAGGTTCTTCATCAGGGATCTTATCCACAGCCAGCTCTTTCCTCTGTTGGCTTGCCCTGCTGTCAGCATTGCGGTTGCCAGTGGTAACAGCTGACTGCTGGCTTATTGAAGGGGAGAAAGGCTTTGTGTGGCTGGCTATCTGCAGCATGAACCAGCCTCCCTATGAGGCCATCCCCTCCCACATTAACAGGTAAGAAAACCAACAATAAACCACGGCTACATTCACAGCATTTAACAATTTGACAAACATCTACAGACCTGTCATATCTCTCCACAGCACTATTGTTGATCTGAGGCTCAATGAAAACAAGATACGGTCAGTCCATTATTCCTCACTAAGTCGCTTCGGAAACCTCACCTATCTGAATCTTACCAAGAATGATATCAGCTATGTGGAAGATGGAGCTTTCTCAGCACAATTCAACCTGCAGGTGACATAATCTAACTTCATTTATTTGTGTGTGCAGCAAAATGCTAGTTTTTCAAAGAATCTACAAAAAAAGGAGGTGAAAACATTCTTACTTAATTCTTACTTAATCTAAGACAAGTAGGAAAAATGGTTAATTTATAAAGTGCACGTATTTGTCTAATTGGTGAAATTAATTAATTTGATGCTTTCAATCTCATAAAATGTGTTTATTTTCAACATCAAACTGTTGTTTTCGTAAACTAGGCTGGTAATTACAGTAGATGTAAAACTTCTCATCAACTCGCAATGATATTTTCATACCAGAAATGACTGTTTTTTTGTCTGCTTTAATGATGATGGTGCCAACCACCACAGCACCGTGCAGCCTAAGCCTGTTTTCAGTCTATTTCAGTTCAACAATGCTTGTTTCTTCCATAAAGGTCATGCAGAAAATGGAAATAAGCACTTTGGCACCTTTATGTTTTTCTGTGTTTTTTTTATTCCATGTTGTTGACAGTCCTTTCACACGAAAAAATCCCCCAAAACACTCTTACATTTCTGTTTTCATAAATACTGTCACTGTCTAAAACAAAAAACTAAAACAACCTTAATTTTTTGCATCATGAAAAATTGTAAAATGCCATCTTGGCAATATATTTTGGTTTTGTACAATTTCACATACTCAAAGAGTTGAGATTTTCACAACATTATGTGCAAAAACAGAGATAACAAATATACAACGCTCACTCATTGTTGGCTTCCGGAAATACTCAAAAGAGTTTCACAAAACTTAGCCGTAATGAGCTGTCATGGTTGCACATTTATCCCAGTTTCTGTAGCTGTGCCAGGAGGTAAAATGTGAACAAGAGAGATCTGAGAAAATTCAGTACGACATAGAGGCTTAGATCACCATGTGAAACATGAGCTGCACTGAACCGTCATCTGTTTGTTCTGTATGTTTCCAGCTTGTAGTGAGCATTGCCTGGCATGGGCTCCCTCTTCAGAGATTAGGATAATCCCACTTGTCTTTGTCTCGCAGGTTCTCCAGATGGGCTTTAACAAGTTGAGGAACCTGACGGAGGGGATGCTGCGAGGCCTGAGCAAGCTGCAGTATCTCTACCTCCAAGCCAACCTGATCGAGACTGTTACACCCAGCACCTTTTGGGAATGTCCCAACATAGAGAATATAGATCTCTCCATGAACAGGTGAAAACATGCTGTTCTAATGCATAACCGGCAAAAAAGTACATCTCAATGTGAATGATATTTCTCTGAAATAGGCTTTTATATAAAAGGGCTAAAGAAGCGTGTCAAAGATCGGGCTTAGCTTCACCTCTCTAAAGACATGCTTTCTAAGGTCCCTTATGTTGGGCACACTAGTTATGGTAAAGTCCCCTGTGGAAGAAGCAGACATTCTTCTGAGTGAGGGACAGGCCCATTTAGTTTTCTTTGTTCAGCTGTGTATGTGTCTGAAATGTCCTTTTTACTGTCTGTAGGATCCAGGTGTTGGATGGCAATTTGTTCAATGGACTTTCCAAACTGACCACCTGTGAACTTTATACCAACCCCTTCAACTGCTCGTGCGAGCTCTTGGGTTTTCTGCGCTGGCTCGCAGCCTTCCCCAACAGGACCAGTGAAAGGATGGTGTGTGACTCCCCTCCCGGATTTTCTGGCTACAACTTGTTGAGCCAGAATCCCCGCATGCCTTCCCAGCGCAATGCTCTGCATGTGCTCAGTCTTGTGTGCACAGACGATGGCATGAGCATGACGCCCTTTTATGTCATTGACTCTACCACTCAGTTGCCAGACTTTGCTTCTCCCTGCGGACTGGATGATTGTGCCTCTGGGACTCCACCTGACGAGGTAATAAGCTTAAGCCCAATATTTTATGATGCCAAACCACTGATGACGATACAGCAGGTGCAGCATTCAAGTGCCGTCATAACGGTCCAGATCCCTAATCTATACAAGAAAATGTACATCCTTATGCTGTACAACAACAGCTTCTACACAGACATCCAGAATCTGCGAAACGAACGAGAGGATATTGAGCTTAAAAACTTAAAACCTAATACAGACTACACTTACTGCGTAGCTTCTATACGGAACTCCCTGCGATTCAACCACACCTGTCTGACCATCTCCACTGGTCGCAGGCCCGGGGCTGAAAGGGTCCCCAATCCGTCGTCGGCCACCCACTACATCATGACTATTTTAGGCTGTCTGTTTGGCATGCTGATCTTTCTCGGCGTTGTTGTCCACTGTCTGAGAAAGAGGAGAATCATGGAAGAGAAGGAGAGAAAGATGAGCAGGATCCAGAGGACTCTAATCGAGCTCAAGTACGGTGGAGAAGACATAGAAGGAGGAAGTGGAGGATCCATTTCCCAAAAGCTCGGTGCTGGGGACAGCCTGTCCAGAATGCCCTACCTGCCCCAGGGTGGGGAGATAGATCCATACAAGCTTCAGGAGGTGATAGAGACCCCAGGGCACAAGCCTGCTAAACTAAGCTACATGGAAGTCAGAGGCTCGGGCATTGAAAGGGAGAGGGAAAGAGAGAGGGACCGAGAGATGTCACCGCAAGCAAATCCCCAGGGCTCAGTGGCAGAGATCTCTACAATCGCTAAAGAAGTTGACAAAGTTAACCAGATCATCAACAACTGTATAGATGCTCTGAAATCCGAATCAACCTCCTTTCAACAAGGAATCAAATCCCCCTCTACTGCAGGAGGAGGAGCAGTTTCAACAGCAGAGCCACAGCTGGTGCTTCTATCTGATCAAGGAGAGCGAGGAGAAAGAGGAAGCGAGTTCCTCTCCCCTGTGTATAAAGGAGGGAGAGGAGGAAGAGAAGAGAGGGGGAGGGGTTTCCATCATTCATTGCAGCGACACCATAGCATGGAAGCTCCTCCAACTTCCAAAAGACCCAGTACCTCCTCTTCTCCTGGCTCTGCCCGAAGCCCTCGCTCCTTCCACTCAGAGGGGGGCTACCACTCTACAGAGTCCCGCTACATTGAGAGAACTTCCCCAGGAGAAAGGGGAGAAAGGGGAGAAAGGGGAGAAAGGGGGGAAAGAGGAGAAAGAGGAGAAAGAGGAGACAGAGGAGACAGAGGAGACAGAGGAGACAGAGGAGAAAGAGGAGAAAGAGTAGAAAGAGGAGAAAGAGGAGAACGAGTAGATGCCATCCGTACTGTCAATCCCGCGGCAGTTATCTTACGAGCAGAAGCCCAGAGAATCCGCCAGTACAACGAGCACCGTCACTCCTATCCTGGCTCCCAGCAGCATCTCCAGGAGCTGCAACACCACCCACAGATCCTGCAGGAGCTCCACCACCACCCAGGGGGGCGGAAACCCTCTGTGTTGGACCCGCTCACTCTCAGCAAGCAGGCTAAGCAGCGGGAGCTAGCCTACTCCCAGCTCTCACCACATTACCCACTCTCACCCCAATACCACAACCTTAGCTACTGCTCCAGTCCTGAAGAGGATGAGGAGGAGGAGGGGCTCCTGTGCACCCCAACCCTGGGGCTGTGGGAGAGATTCAAGCTGCACCGTAAGAGGCACCGGCAGGCCTCCATGGAGGATGAAGGCTACGTGGCAGCCGGACACGCACTGAGGCGAAAGGTCCAGTTTGCCAAGGATGAAGATCTTCATGACATACTGGACTACTGGAAGGGGGTGTCTGCCCAGCAGAAAGCCTGATCCTTCATTTGGAGACGGCTCCCACCGAGAACATGGAAAAACCGCACTCCATCCATATATATCACATTCATACAGATACAAAGACTTTGTCATTAAAGACATGTAAATACACACAGACAAACACAGGTAACACAACTACAGATTCTAACTGACATATTTATACACACAAACATACACAGATACATACAAAAGCCGGCCCATACTTGACACAAACTAAGCCTTTTCCTCCCAGAACATGGATGAGGACCAAACTAATATATTATCTTGAACTCCAGAATTCTTATCTTATAGAGACTGAGTTAGCTTTTGTATTGTAATGGAAACCATAGCTCAGACTTATGTAGCTATTTGTACTAAGTTTTGAATGAGGAAAAACAGAATCATCGTAAAGAATAGAAAACTTAAAAATTGTTAGGAAACCCATCCTGAACAGCTCTGAAATGTTTTTGATCTACCCTGAGACTTACCCCTTTGAGAAAATGCAGAATCTTTACAGTGGTGATGGATAAAGAATCACTTTACTAGGCAGGTTGTTGCATCGCGCCCTGCGAAACAGCCATGATACGAAAGATTTTTTTAGAACTCTCCATGATTTGGGAGACTGAAACATCAAAATGACATATTCCGGATGGGTCAACAGGAACCAGTAATCTTTAACTTTGAAAATGAGTAGGTAGCTCTCAGCAGAGAATGAGTTTAATGTGCCAAATCAACCAAGGGGATAGTAAAGCCCTACTGTGTACCAACTACTCCTCACCACTGTTTTTATATACTGAATCGAAAAAATAAGTATGATATCTTGTTATTACTATTCATTATTCTTATTCTCACTACTGGTCTTATTATTATTCCTATGATCCTCATCATTAATATCATGTTATTATGGCATGGCTCTGTTGTGTGACTGTGTTTTTTTCGACTGTTTTGAACTCATCAGCTAAGAACAACAGAGACAAACAGTACAGTGGAAGAGACATTTAAGTCCTCCTTTTCTATCAAGAGGAATGTGCTCTGTCTGCTGAGCCAAAAAAACACGCCGGCCTTTTCTCTTGGTGAACCCCTACTCCACCTGCTCCTGATCCCTCTAAAGAGTGAACGCTGTAAAGACGACAGAGAAGTTCTATATTTGCAACAGAGGTGACTGTTTTCTTTGTACAACATGGTTTTGAAATCTTTCAGAGTCCCAAGTTAGTTACCTACCTGCTCACCCACACTAGTACGTTTTTGATTTTGAAACTGAACAAAAAAAAAATCTAATCTTCAGATGAATGTCTTTGATTCCCAGAGGGGAAGTATAACTGCACTGTTCAAAATCAGAAAACGACTCTTAGGTATAGACCTGAAACTCTTAGTTTTCCACCCGATACACTGTGTGTGTGGTTTTTCTTTTTAAACATTTCATTTCTTTCCCAAATTTTTATCTTTTGGGGATTTCTCTGGTTCCACTGTGGTGCCATCGTGCCAACTTGATAAGTGACAAGTATTTGAAAATGCTTTTAGATGCTAATATTTACAGACCTCTTTTCCTTCACATCAGTACACATTAGTTTGCCAAACCAAGCAATTTGCACAAACGATCCTCCATCATTGGCTCACAGCTTCCCATCTATCCTTCAATCATTTCTATGACCAAAGTACTGTGGTAGTAAATTGACCCTTAAAGCCCCCGACCAGAATCCAACTATTGAGCCGCTGTCACTCTGACAGTTACAACACTAGCACCTGCACACACACACCCCAACATGCACCAACGTTCCCTCACACGCACACACTCCAGCTCATTCATGCTCCTATAACCACAAACAGATGAATGTATTCTATGAGGAGTTGATTCTGTTTAGCAGCTGGATTCTGAAGTGCTGAACTCAAACAGGTTTTGTTTTTTTTGGAAGAAAGCATACTTCAGGTTGCCACTTGTGGCTAAGAAATGTAGATAAATAAGGAATTATCGGCCCTCCACTAAATCAAATCCAAGCAAACTGAGGCTCATGGGCGACCAGTTTGTGAAAAGACCAACATGTCACTGAAGATGTTTGTTGAAGTTCTAGCAACGGTATCTTATATGAGAAGTGTTATGGTAAAATGTGATTACTGTAGTATCACTTGTGTGGTGAGAAGACACTATGTGTACTATATCTGAAATAACTGCAGGATTTAAATATCGGAGGCAAAAAAAAAGAGACAAACTCATGTGCTTATATACAGTAGAATATTCTACAGAAACTGTGCTATAACCTATGTAAGAAGAGAGCATACAACTTACGGAGTCAAGGCTATTTCAGCTCAGCAGCTTTTGTATTTAACAAGTGTGTAGTATTCATGTTATTGATTATGTTTTTTATTACAAGTATCCATACTGAGCAGATGGCAGAGATGTTGCTATCTGACTTGAAACTGAGTTGACTCCACCCTAAGAACAACACGGAGCTGGCAAACAAAGGTTTATGGGTGAACGGAAACATAGTAAAAAATATTTTTCTGTGCTATACTGAGGTCAGAATGTTCGAGTTATTAATCCTGGTTAAAGCCATAATCATGGGTTAGTAAATTCCCCACAATTGTTTGGAGTGAGACATGTTTCCTCTCCTGATACTGCAGCTGTGAGTGGTGGTTCCTCTGCCTCTGAACCCAGCAGTCCAACTCTGATCCAAAGGAAACTGTTGAGCTCTGACTGGTTCTACATCCTTTGCCTCAGATTGTGGCTTTAACTAAACAACAGCCTTAAAACACTTGATTTTCTTTAATCTTTTTAACGTCGGTGTTGCATTGAAAATTGGAAAAAAAAGATGATTTCATAACTTATACTTTCCTGACTGCAATTTTATAATTGCTTGATTCCAAGACTCACTTGAGCATTCTTTGAGTAAACGTTATATCAATGTAGCGATGTGTTGAACATTGTTTTTGTTTATTCATTCTGTTTATTGACGGTAATAGTCTGAATTTGTAACATGTCAGAGTAGCATCTAGACTGAGACGCCATCGAGGAGGTGGTGGGAGCGACCTGTCAACGGTGGCCACAATCAGCGCTGCTTTCCTTTGAGCCGTGATGAAGAAAAACTGTGTTTTTTGAGACAAAAATGCCTGGAAAGTGGAAATAAACTGAAGTCCTACTGAGACAAGAAAGATGACAATGGATCATGCTGCAAGGAGACCCTCAGTGGAAGCTTGTGTTGAGTTCTTCTCGTGAATGTCTCAGGAGCGACAGAGCGAGAGCTTGAGAGGGAGCGAAGGCGCTCTGCCACAGGATCTCTCAGAGGCTTTCTTTATTTTCTTGTTGGAAAATTCAAATGAGCACAATAAAATAGCCTTCCTTACACTGTCTCCTGTCCTGGAGAAATCCCCATTAAGCCAGAAGTTTTGAGTACACCCAGGACTTTATTCCACACTTTATGGATGTTTTATGGGTTACTCAAGACTAAATGTTTACAAGGGTTGATCATTTGTCAAGGTTGTACGATTTCTACCTTCATTTCAATACAATATAGGGAAATCAAATGTTGTCTCTGGTGCTCAATGTTGAAATATTCAACAGACATCTATTTCCTAACAACAAGGTTATGTAAATTACTCCTAAGAATATCTCCCACAGACATCATCATTCCTTTTAATATTGTTGGAGGGAAAAACGCTGATAATGTAGTATTCCGATTATTCTGCAAAGAGGACACAGATTCGGGAGCAACAATTTACCAGCGAATGGAAAAATACCCAGAGAGGAAGCTCTAATCACATACTTGATGAATGCTAGTTAAGGTTTTTAACATAAATTTAACTGGAGTTCTTCACACGGGGTGCTTTGTTTTATCTTTTCACAATGGGCTTTGATTCAAGCCCACTTAAGCAGATAAATTACTTTAGCTTTCTGCCCGTTGCATCATGACCACACTGTTAATATAATGGACCTGTGAAGACTATTGTATACTGAGTTTTCCATCCATCCATTTAGCTTACTCAATCAACAGTCACAGGGAGGGCTGGGGCCTATCCCAGCTTGATTAAGTCCAAAACAGATACAAGGATCCTTTTTTTGTGAGGCCTGGGTGATAACCACCACAGTCAAAATTAAAGATAAATTACATTTGTATTCTGAGGTAGACAACTTGTAGAGAGGATGCATTCAAATGTCTGGTATGATTCTCATTTACAATTACGACGCATAAGATTAAACTATGACGCAATAACATGTCAATAACCAACATCTGTTTGTTAGCTGGTTGGTCCCAGCTCCACCATCAGCAGCTATGGTAAGATTCTGACTATCGATCTTGAATAAGACAATGTTACAAAGAACGTGTTAATATGGGTGGCAGAGAAGAAATTTTATAATCGATATTCACACTTACATTAGCATTGTTCAGTTAATAACTCCTGATCCTGTTCAGCCCTAAGAGCCTTTATTATAGCCATATTCCCTTAAAAAATTTGATCTTTACTTAAATTTTGGCACTACAGCAGTGAATGTGCATGGAGCATTTCATAGACTAAGAATTGATTAGATCCTTAAAAAGACCAACACTACAGTAGAAAATATTCAGTTGCAAGTTATTCAAATATCTGCATTCACAGTCCTGGTAAAGAAGAATGAGACCCACAAAAGTTAAGTATTCTGAAGAGTTCCAGAAGCAAATTGATCAGCTAAAATGGCCAGTCTCAAATGTGTATTTATCATGTTATTGCATAGAACTATTCAGTCAGTTGATCTGTTATCTAAACTGTGTCAAATCCTGGCACATGAAGGCAAACTTCTCGTTTAGACTGGCTTATTTCAAACATTTCAAACACAAAGTCAATACATGTGAACAGATGGTCTAATCTAACATGCTAACACTGATCATGCTAACAAAGGAGGTCGGGTATGACTTTTTCAATGCTTTGCACCTTAATTAAGAGAGTTTGCAGGCTAATAATTTCAACATTCATGCCGGAAAATCTGCAAAAGATTTATGAAATGCTTTTTTTGTAGTTACATACAATCAAATAACATATATCCATGGTGGAAAAATATTTAATTAAAGCCAAAAAAAATAGCAAATAGGAAATGTAAACATTTGCTTTAAGAACACTTGGACGATGGATCCTGAAAAATCCAAAGAAAATAAAGAGATTTAGAGATCTGACGATGTCCTTGGGACAAGACTTAGTTTAATTCCAATTTGACCTGAACAGCTGAGTGGACCTAACTAAGCCTATCTAATGTCTTGGAACTGTGTATGACTGCGCAGCATGTGTCAAAACCTGCCTCTAAAATTCAGCAAGAAAACCAATTTTGACTCTTTGTACAAAAAATAACCTTGTATTAGTCAGCACACAGTTACTTATGTAACCTAATTATTTGGAAATTTTAGGGCTGGCAAAAGGTTTGACGTGCTAGAAGGTTAGATTGTCAGCAGTTTAAACATCAGCGCAATCTAAATCTTGACCCTTGTGCGCACACACACACACACACACACATACACACACACTTATTTCTATGTAGTTACACCATCTAGTTTCAGTCTGAGACTTCTAATAAGCAGCTTTTCTCAGCATGCAGGTGAGTGCGCAGCTCTGAGAGACATCAGCTATATGAGACATGATCGAAGTGAAAACACTATCTGATTTCATAGCTACGAAAGAAGAAAACGTCTGAACAAGTCCAGTAGAAACAGATGTTTATTCAACTGTGAGCTGTCAATGGATTTGTCATATGCAGTCATTTGCACACAGATGTATGTCAGAGCTTACCTTTCACTGAGATGACATGAGATGAATGTAGTAGTTTGAGACAGCCCTTCTTCATGACATTCGTCTACCATCTGCTTGGTAACGATTCATCGTGGGGACGAAAGTGGTCAACGCTGTGTCTTACATGGCAAGTTGTGAGAAGATATGATCATGACCTGCCTATCCCATCTGACACAGGGCAAGAGGTGGGGTACACACATGGAAGAACAACCACACACTCACATTCACAGGCCAGTCAAAACATTCCTGATTTGTCCTCTTAGAGGAAAAGAGCCCAACTTTGCTCATCCCGCTGTGGAGCTTTTCTCCACAACAGCTCATCAAGGTTCTGTGCCAAAACATCTCCTTGTTAGACTCACAGGATTGCATACATACAGATATATTCCAATTGGAACCCTTTATTATTTCTTTCAAAAGGGCAAAAGTTTGGATGTCAGGAATATAGAGTGGTGGCTGGTCCTAAATTGCTGTAAAAATTTCCATTTCAGAGAAATCCTGCAGATTGCATCAACAAATAAAACGAGTGCATGGGGCAAAGTTTCCCACTCAGTTGTTTTTCTACGTTTTGCACAGCACCTGAGCCAGGATTTAACTTCACTGAAAGTTCTCCTTTAGCCTCTCCTGTCAGACTCCCACTGAAGAGGCAGCGAACAGAAGGATAATTCTCTTCAAGAGTAGACAACAAGCGCACTTGTAACACTCTAAGAGCAGTAAAAGCAATGCAAGGAAGAGGGCGATAAGAGTCCTTTGTCCCAGCTGCTGTCCCGGTCTTCCATACATTTAAATGATAAACAGACATACGAGTCCGAATGACTGCATGCTGGTGCTTACAGACCCAAAGATATTTTATCTTGTTCCCAAATGAAAAAGTTTAAATTTCATCATCACAAATAAGTTTTCTTAAATGGTCATTCTGAGATCAATGGGCTGGAGCCCGCGGTATGAGAGGGCAAAGGTCATTTGTTGCAAAGTACTGTGTCACTTAAACTCTGTCACCCATCTAAACTTCAGTCCACTGAATAATGTTTTGATGGACTAACGTTCTCATAAAGATGGATGATTGAGGCTCAAGGTTGAAAGGCCCCATTGGAGCCATGATAAGTACTATTGATGGTAAAAGGAGAGAAAAATGTGCACACACAACCAGAAATCACAACACAAGAGCTGGATTGAATAAATACCTGTGACTGGACTCATTCCATTCAAACATGAATGTTCTGCTTCCAATTTAAAACAACAGCAAAGAGAAGATGGTTTCTACCACAGAAATTCGTACTGATCTGAACTTTTCTTCTGGTAAGAGAGACACTTCTAAGTAACTTTTCTTCGAGTGCCATTTCCTTCGGAGAGTATTTGTCTTTCTTTCACTGATCAAAAACACAATTTTGGTTTCAACGTGCCCAAAGAGATTCTGAGTGCATCCTGAGTACACATTTAAGTAAAGACAAAGACAATTAGCCTGGACTACGGGGCTCCTGCTAAGGCAAATTGTCTATCTAAATTCACGAAAGTGGCAAAAACGTGTGCTGGGAAGCATAATTCTATTATATCTCGAAATCACTGACTGAAAATTGCAACACCAGTTCATCAGAGGGGTTAAGCGATGCTTATCTCACCACTGCAGTGTGAAGGGAAAGTCTTGGCAGGGGCTTTTTCATTAAGTTCCCATCTGTCTCATGTGATTTCAACCCAGGTGAGTTTGGTATGTCTCCATGGTTACATCATCTGTTTCCTCATCCTCATTTTCCTTCCTTTGAGGCATCTCAGATCTTGTGCTCCCCCTCAGACTCAGACAGACAGAATTAGTCAATGGTTTCAAGCACAAGTGTGCTTGAGCAAATAAGGACATTTCCAAAGGGATGCATTTATTTAAACATATGTAAAGCTCAACATGTTTCAATTAAAAAAAACTGTAAACAAAATGATCCTGTTGACTTTTAAAGTTTTTCATGATGTTTACAGCAAATGTGCAAAACAATATTGTGGACATGGGAGGGCTTGTCAAAGAGCACCCCCCCCCCCAAATTTACTGTATTACCAGAACTTATCCGTACCCCGGTTCTGAGGGGTAGGTAGTCTTATCAAAGCAGTCTGATGTGAAATGGAGAAGGAGCCTCCAGCTTGCTCCAGCGTCTTTGCTCGGAACACAAGAGGTTGTCAAGTTTGTCAGAGTCATTGTTAAAGTGACCAAAATATCTGCCATTTATGTGTGTGTGTATGTGTGTGTGTGTGTGTGTACTCTCTGTCTGTCTGTCTACCCCATCACTCTAAAGTTGTATAAGCTTCTCAAGTAACAAAAAGAAGCCTCTCCGGGCACAAACAATAACCCTTCCTTCAATCTCCACATGGCATTTAGAGTGAAGCCTCCAGGCGTGGATGGAGGGTGGCGGATATATGAGGACAGGCCGAAGAAAAAACACAGAAGGGAGAAGGAAACAGCGTTAAGAAAACAGGGCTAAGGAAGATAAAGGAGGACACAAAGACAGCTCTTTGCTCATTTTCACAGTTCTGATTTCTCTCAGAGCCCCCGGGGGGGGGGGGGGGGGGGGGGGGGTCGTCATTGTGAAATAACCTTCCTTTAAAAAATGGAAATTAGACTCGCTGTCTCTCTCATAGATCGCAAATTAATGTGGGCCGGCCTGTAGAGGGAGGCGGCTTGATAGAGCATGATTATGGGAGTAATAATGAGAAACATTCTCACCACTGTATTAGAACATATTAAAATCAAGCTGCTAAAGGGAGGACCCTGTTTCTCTGTGCGA